GCGAAGAGTATTACAAAGAGTGCGCCACAAGACAGATTAATCCTTTGACGATCAGTCGGATGGATGATACTAAAGATATTGACCTCGCTACAATATCGGAATATCAAGCGGACATGTGCTTGACCTTTGACAATGACATCGATCTTCAAACCATCTTCAAGGACGTGGTCGTCAACCCCGCTCAGGATGTAAGGATATTCGGAAAGCATGGAGTCTCATATGAGGACCTCCAAGTCATGAAGGAGGAGTACATCTGCTTTGAAATCACGGAGACGCCTGGCAAAATCTTTGAAAAGCTGTTTCAGGTCAATCGGCTGTACAATGTATTGAAGGGTGAGATGATTGGCGAAGACTCCAAGATTGCGGCGATAGGTTTGTTGACGAATGGCAACAGAGAGGACTTTGAGGTGGTCAGTGGATGTTTGAGCAGGTTCTTCTCTCTGGCCTCTGATCACCATGAATTGACGTCGTTTGTGGATCCTGGAAGCATACCGTTTGTTTTGATTTACACTCCGTACAGGAATATTTATGGTGCTGTGCAAGATCTGAAGGAGAATGTGGACAGGAAGTTCGATGAACTGAAGGAGGATGTGGACACGAGGTTCAATGAACTGAAGGAGGATGTGGACACGAGGTTCAATGAACTGCAGAGCAACGTAACCGCGTTGCAGAGCGACGTAACCGAGTTGAAGAGCGACGTATCCGAGTTGAAGAGCGACGTATCCGAGTTGAAGAGCGGCGTATCTGCTTTGAATGTTACGATGGGTCTCGTACTGGAGCTTCTCAACAAAAAGCTCAAGTGACTCTTTGTCGAACCTGATGCAGGCTTCAATTGAATGTCGCTGTTGTGTGTTTATTTTTAACACCTCATCATAGAGACTGGAAGGTGAATAAAATACTAAAACGTAGAATGATTGACGGGACTAGTCTGCTCAGGTACCGATGCTCGTTGGCTCTCAAGCAGTGGAAAGGAGTGTAAGGAGAAATGCGCCTACTCGCCATCTTCACTTCGGTTGTGACAGCGAGAGCGAGGGAACAGCAACAAGGAATGCGTGAAGATCCGCTCTCACTTCCATCCTCACTGTGAGACCGCATGGCGCGGCACAAGCGAACTGCCGTCCTCCGTCCTTACAGTTCTGTTGTTGATCCTCTACTGACTGGCACGCCGGGCTCGTCGTCCCACTATCCTTACACAGGCCTTGAGGCTCCTCTGA